ACTTTCTACCTTTTGATCAAGTGAGACCGCTAGATTCCCTGCACTTTCGAAATCTAGGCGTTTCTGTCAGAGTATTATAGCTTACTTATTTGTGTAGGCTATAGTGGGGTATCCCATAGGGGGTACAACCCAACTAGGGTTTCCTATTTGTACTCACTTCATTCATAGTCATTTCATTCACGTTCCTTTTTCTTTCACAGTTTCCATTGTGCTAGGCACTTGCACTCTAAGTTCCCATACCGACCTCCCTCGCCAATGCACCATTTTCTCTATACGTGTGCGTTAGATACCTTGCAAACCCCTTTGTTCTCTAGATTAAGATATTTTACATCTTGTGATCAAGTGAGACCGCTAGATTCCATGTACTTTGTGAGATTTGAGCGTTTTAATTCTCCCTAGCCCCGCTTGCACTATAAGTGCGCATGACGGCCAGACTTGCCGACGCACCATTTTCTCTACACATGTGCGTTATAAACCATTCAAGCCTTATTAATTCACTAGACTAATTTACTTCCTACCTTCTGATCAAGTGAGACTGCTAGCTTCCCCGAACTTTTCAAAATCTGACCGTTTCCTGTCTCCTAGGCACTTGCACTCTAAGTTCCCATACCGACCTGCCTCGCCAATGCACCATTTTCTCTACACGTGTGCGTTAAATACCTTTCAGACCCTTTTGTTCTCTAGAGTAATAAATTTCACATCTTTTGATCGAGTCAGACCGCTACATTCCATGTACCTTCTGATCAAGTGAGACCGCTAGATTCCCTGTAATTTTCAAAATCTGGGCGTTTCCGTTCTCCAAGGCACTTGCACTCTAAGTTCTCATACCGGCATGCCTCGCCAATGCAACATTTTCTCTATACGTGTGCGTTAAATACCTTTCAGACCCTTTTGTTCTCTAGAGTAATATATTTCACATCTTCTGATCGAGTGAGGGTGATGATTTATTTCCTACCTTCCGATCAAGTGAGACTGCTAGATTCCTTGCACTTTTAAGATCTGAGCGTTTCAATTCTCATAGGCACTTGCACTCTAAGTTCCCATACCGACCTGCCTCGCCAATGCACCATTTTCTCTATACGTGTGCGTTAGATACCTTTCAAACCTTGTTCGTTGTCTAGATTAATATATTTCACATGTTTTGATCGAGTGAGACCGCTAGATTCCATGTAATTTGTGAGATTTGAGCGTTTTAATCCTCCCTATCCCCACTTGCACTGTAATTGCGCATGACGTCCAGACTGACCAATGCACCATTTTCTCTACACATGTGCGTTATATACCATTCAAGCCTTATTAGTTCACTAGACCAATTTATTTCCTACCTTCCGATCAAGTGAGACTGCTAGATTCCTTGCACTTTTCAAAATCTGAGCGTTTCCATTCTCATAGGCACTTGCACTCTAAGTTTCCATACCGACCTGCCTTGCCAATGCATTATTTTCTCTATACGTGTGCGTTTGATACCTTTCAGACCTTGTTCGTTGTCTAGATTAATATATTTCACACCCTTTGATCGAGTGAGACCGCTAGAGTCCATATACTTTGTGAGATTTGAGCGTTTTAATCCTCCCTAGCCCCACTTGCACTATAAGTGCGCATGACGGCCAGACTTGCCGATGCACCATTTTCTCTACACATGTGCATTATATGGGAGAGTTGACGCTCTTATAGGAGAGCTGACGCTTTTATAGGGGAGTTGACGATTTGATAGGGGAGTTGACGCTCATATAGGGGAGTTGACGCTCATATAGGGGAGTTGACGCTTATATATGAGAGTTGACGCTTTTATAGGGGAGTTGACGCTCTTATAGGGGAGTTGACGCTCTTATAGGGGAGTTGACGCTCTTATAGGGGAATTGACGCTCTTATAGGGGAGTTGACGCTCGTATAGCAGAGTTGACGCTCTTATAGGGGATTTGTCGCTCTTATAGGGGAGTTGACGCTTTTATATGAGAGTTGACGCTTTTATGGGGGAGTTGACGCTCTTATAGGGGAGTTGACGCTCTTATAGGAGAGTTGACGCTTTTATAGGGGAGTTGACGCTCTTATAGGGATGTTGACACTCTATTAGGGGAGTTGACACTCTTATAGGGGAGTTGACGCTCTTATAGGAGAGTTGATGCTTTTATATGAGAGTTGACGCTTTTATGGGGGAGTTGATAGGAGAGTTTACGCATTTATAGGAGAGCTGACGCTTTTATAGGGGAGTTGACGCTTTTATAGGGGAGTTGACGCTCTTATAGGGGAGTTGACGCTCTTATAGGGAATTTGATGCTCTTATAGGGGAGTTGACGCTCTTATAGGGAATTTGACGCTCTTATATGAGAGTTGACGCCTTTACATGGGAGTTGACTGTCAGAATATTGTGCTCTAGCCTGTAGTGGGGTGCTCTATAGCGAGTACAACCCTGTTAGGGTTTGCTATATGTATCCCTGCTGCTGCTAGTGAACCTCCTCCTTTGCCTATTTCTCGCTTGCCTAGCTAGGGTTCTCCTAGCTATGGCTTCTCACACTACCTACTATCTCAACATGCTATCAGAGCAGGTCGATCCCCTTGGATCGATCCTGTGGGTGGGCTCACCACCTCGTTGCTTCCGCTGCAACTACTACTGCTACTCTCAGTGCCGCACGCCCCATGGCATGCGGCAGTTTTTCTTCCCGCCGTGCGCCCCGAGGCGCGCGGCGGTTTTCTGCCCGCCGTGCGCCCCGGGGCGAGCGGCGGTTCTCTGCCCGCTGTGCGCCCCGAGGCGCGCGACGGGCTTCTGCCCCGTCACTCGCCGCGTCGCCCTCGGGAGGCGATGCGACGGGCGACGGGGACCCGCGCGTTGCCCCCCGTCGCCCGTCGTGGCCTGCGCGCGGCCCGTACAGCCGGCACGCGGCCCGTACGGGTTTCGTTAGGCCTGCGCGCGGCCCGTACGGGCTGCGCCAGGCCCGCGCGCGGCCCGTACGGGCTGCGCCAGGCCCGCGCGCGGCCCGTACGGGAAGCGCCAGGCCCGCGCGCGGCTCGGGCCACCTGCGCGCGGTTCGGGCGGCTGTGCCAGGCCCGTGGGCGGCCCGTTCCTCGCTGCCCCTGCCCTCCCCACTGTCCCCCGTGCTTCTACTGGCGCCCCACCCCTCCTACAGCCCGTTCCCCTGAATTAGGGTTTGGGGGTGAGGGGTATGGGGGTGAAGCCACTGAAGCCGTTCCCTGCTCCTCCTACTCCTCCGTCTCCCTGTGCTGCAGCTGCCGCTGAGGGGGGGTGGACCTGTTGGAGCCGTCGGAATGGTACTAAGGGGGGGGTGAAGGGGGAGTGGAGCTAGGGGTGTATCAGCGGGTGTGTGTCAGGGGGGTGGGACTGTTTGCGGGAGGTTGATCGGAGGCTGCCGTCTTGTCGTCCGCAGCACCTGTAGTCCGGGGCGCTGTCCCGGTAGCCCAGAGAGCTCGTCGCTGCGCTAGTTGCCTGTGGGTCCGTAGCTCCTGCCGCTCGTCTTAGCCGCGGAGCCAGTTACTCCTGTAGTCCGGCGACTTGGTCCGGTAGCCACTGTGCTCGCCACTCCTGTTGCCCGTGTGTCTGCAGCTTCAGCCGCCGCCTCCCATCTCCTCTCTTCTCACTGTCCCTCCTCCTCCTCACTTGCCCGTTGTGACTACCACTAGCTTTGCTGATAATTGTGAACTTTCAACTATTGCTTCTTGAACTTGTGCTCAGAATGTGTGGTGACATTGTGATCCACCCTGAGCTTGAATTGCTTTGCTTGCTCTGCTTATTACACCCCACTTTGAATATGGGGGTGTGTCAGAATATTGTGCTCTAGCCTGTAGTGGGGTGCTCTATAGCGAGTACAACCCTGTTAGGGTTTGCTATATGTATCCCTGCTACTGCTAGTGAACCTCCTCCTTTGCCTATTTCTCGCTTGCCTAGCTAGGGTTCTCCTAGCTATGGCTTCTCACACTACTTACTATCACAACATTGACAAATTTTTTGGGGAGTTGACACTCTTATTGGGAAGTTGACGCTTTTATAGGGGAGTTGACGCTATTATAGGGGAGTTGATGCTCTTATATGAAAGTTGACGCTTTTATAGGGGAGTTGACGCTTTTATAGGGGAGTTGACGCTCTTATAGGGGAGTTGACGCTCTTATAGGGGAGTTGACGCTCTACAGTGGAGTTGACGCTCTTATAGCGCAGTTAACGCTCTTATAGGGGAGTTGACGCTCTTTTAGGGGAGTTGTCGCTTTTATATGAGAGTTGACAATTTATGGGAGAATTGACGCTCTTATAGGGGAGTTGACGCTCTTATAGGAGAGTTGACGCTTTTATAGGGGAGTTGACGCTCTTATAGGGAAGTTGACGCTCTTATAGGGAAGTTGACGCTCTTATAGGGGAGTTGACGCTCTTATAGGGGATTTGACGCTTTTATAGGGGAGTTGATGCTTTTATATGAGAGTTGACGCTTTTATGGGGGAGTTGACGCTCTTATAAGAGTGTTGACGCACTTATAGGAGAGCTGACGCTTTTATAGGGGAGTTGGCGCTTTTATAGGGGAGTTGACGCTCTTATAGGGGAGTTGACGCTCTTATAGGGAAGTCGACGCTCTTATAGGGGAGTGGACGCTCTTATAGGGGAGTTGACGCTCTTATATGAGAGTTGATGCTTTTATAGGGGAGTTGATGCTTTTATAGTGGAGTTGAAGCTATTGTAGGGGAGTTGAGGCTCTTATAGGGGAGTTGACGCTCTAATAGGGGAGTTGACACTCTTATATGAGAGTTGTTGCATTTATGGGGGAGTTGACGCTCTTTTAGGAGAGTTGACGCTCTTATAGGAGAGTTGACGCTTTTATAGGGGAGTTGTTGTTTTTATAGGGGAGTTGACGCTCTTATAGGGAAAATTACGCTCTTATAGGGAAGTTGACGCTCTTATAGGGGAGTTGACGCTCTGATAGGGGGGTTGACACTCTTATATGAGAGTTGACGCTTTTATAGGGGAGTTGACGCTCTTATAGGGGAGTTGACGCTTTTATATGAGAGCTGACGCTTTTATACGCCCCATTCACCCTCTTATAGGGGAGTTGACGCTTTTATATCTCCCCATTCTCCCGCTTTCCATCACCCCGCCCCATTCTCCCGCTTTCCATCACCCCAATCCATTCTCCTGCTTTCCATCACCCCGCCCAATTCTCCCTCTTTCCATCACCCCTCCCCATTCTCCCTCTTTCCATCACCCAGCCCCATTCTCCCGCTTTCCATCACCCCGCCCCAGTCTCCCTTTTTCCATCACCCCACCCCATTCTCCCTCTTTCCATCACCCCGCCCCATTCTCTCGCTTTCCATCACCCTGCCCCATTCTCCCGCTTTCCATCACCCCGCACCATTCTCCCTCTTTCCATCACCCCGCCCCATTTTCCCGCTTTCCATCACCCCGCCCCATTCTTCCGCTTTCCATCACCCCGCTCCATTCTCCCGCTTTCCATCACCCCGCCCAATTCTCCCTCTTTCCATCACCCCTCCCCATTCTCCCTCTTTCCATCACCCCGCCCCATTCACCCTCTTTCCATCACCCTGCCCCATTCTCCCTATTTCCATCACCCCGCCCATTCCCCCTCTTTCCATCAACCCGCCCCATTCTCCCTATTTCCATCACCCCGCCCCATTCTCCCTGTTTCCATCACCCCGCCCCATTCTCCCGCTTTCCATCACCCCGCCCCGTGCTCCTGCTTTCCATCACCCCGCCCAATTCTCCCGCTTTCCATCACCCCGCCCCGTTCCCCCACTATCCATCACCCCACCCCATTCTCCCTCTTTCCATCACCCCTCTCCATTCTTCCTCTTTCCATCACCCCTCTCCATTCTCCCTCTTTCCATCACCCCGCCCCATTTTCCCGCTTTCCATCACCCCGCCCCATTCTCCCTCTTTCCATCACCCCGCCCCATTCTCCCTCTTTCCATCACCCCGCCCCATTCTCCCTCTTTCCACCACCCTGCCCCATTCTCCCTGTTTCCATCACCCCTCCCCATTCTCCCTCTTTCCATAACCCCGCCCCATTCTCCCGCTTTCCATCACCCCGCCCCATTCTCCCGCTTTCCATCACCCCACCCCATTCTCCCGCTTTCCATCACCCCGCCCCATTCTCCCGCTTTCCATCACCCCGCCCTAGTCTCCCGCTCTCAATCACCCCGCCCCGTTCTCCCGTTTTCCATCACCCCTCCTCATTCTCCCTCTTTCCATCACCCCGCCCCATTCTCCCTCTTTCCATCACCCCGCCCTGTTCTCCGGCTTTCAATCACCCCGCCCCATTCTCCCGCTTTCCATCACCCCGCCCCATTCTCCTTCTTTCCATCACCCCGCCCCATTCTCCCTCTCTCCATCACCCCGCCCCATTCTCCCGCTTTCCATCACCCCATCCCATTTTTCCGCTTTCCATCACTCCGCCCCATTCTCTTTCTTTCCATCACCTCGCCCCATTCTCCCGCTTTCCATCACCCCGCCCCATTCTCCCGCTTTCCATCACCCCGCCCCATTCTTCCTCTTTCCATCACCCCGCCCCATTCTCCCGCTTTCCATCACCCCGCCCCATTCTCCCGCTTTCCATCACCCCGCTCCATTCTCCCGCTTTCCATCACCCCGCCCCATTCTCCTGCTTTCCATCACCCCGCCCCATTCTCCCTCTTTCCATCACCCCTCTCCATTCTCCCTCTTTCCATCACCCCGCCCCATTTTCCCGCTTTCCATCACCCCGCCCCATTCTCCCTCTTTCCATCACCCCGCCCCATTCTCCCGCTTTCCATCACCCCGCCCCATTCTCCCGCTTTCCATCACCCCGCCCCATTCTCCTTCTTTCCATCACCCCGCCCCATTCTCCCTCTCTCCATCACCCCGCCCCATTCTCCCGCTTTCCATCACCCCATCCCATTTTTCCGCTTTCCATCACTCTGCCCCATTCTCTTACTTTCCATCACCTCGCCCCATTCTCCCGCTTTCCATCTCACCGCCCCATTCTCCTGCTTTCCATCACCCTGCCCTATTCTCCCGTTTTCCATCACCCCGTCCCATTCTCCCTCTTTCCATCACCCCGCCCCATTCTCCCGCTTTCCATCACCCCGCTCCATTCTCCCGCTTTCCATCACCCTGCCCAATTCTCCCTCCTTCCTGTCAACGGGAGTTGGGTGTTGGCCCCGTCCTCGCTTGGGCGGAGCCGACTTCGTGGTCGGGTGTGAGGGGAGCAGCCGACCTGCAGCAGTGGGCGAGCTGGTTGACGAGGGCCACTGCACGGTCACCGACTTCGGGGTGGCGCCGACTTTGGGGAAGCCGACTTTGGTGGTCGGCTGACGGACTGCCAGTCGACCCGGTGGTTGGTCGACCAGGCCTGCTGGTCGACCAGCTGGTGGTCGACTAGACCTGGTGGTCGACGAAGGAGGGGTCGACGTCGACCTCGACACAGGACGCCGGGCAATTGGGCGTCGAGTAGCGGGGCGTCAACTTCGGGACCCCGACTTCGGGTGGCCGACGTGGGTGGTCGGCCGACAACTGCGCTGGTCGACGAGGAGCTGGTCGACCAGGAGTGACGTCGACCTGGAGGGTGTCAACCGAGGGTGTGGTCGGCCTGGTGAGGGTTTAGGGTTTAGGGTTTAGGGTTTAGGGTTTAGGTCGACTGATGGAGGTGGCCGTCAACTTGGGAGGTCGACGGGCACGTACGGGAGCTGCTGGTCGACGTGGTTGCCCGGTTGACCAGGTTACCTGGGCTACGAAGTGCTGCGGAGGAGTGCGACGGTCGCCTAGGCAAAGTTGGCGAGCCCGACCTCAGGGGTGGTATCGCGAGGTCGTCGTGGCGGAACAGAAGCAGTCGTCAGCGAGAGGTTGACGTGGTGTGTGCGCTGTGCAGGTGACGAGGCTCTGCACGCCAATCATCTGCGCGCACCTGCGAAGCGGGTGCACTGCTGTTCTGCGTGAGCAATGCTGGCACGCCGTCAACCTGCGACGTTGGCACGCCGTCGACCTTGCACTGCTGGAGCGCGGTCGACCAAGTCGTGCTAGAACGCGGTCGACCAAGCTGTGCTGGCAGTTGGCCGACCTGAATGCTAGCTCTGATGTAGTCTTGCATTGCCAACTTCATTGTATTATTGTTGTCAACCTTTCTCTAGAGAAACTCTTGCCAAATTGCCTTGTGAACTAGCAAGAAGTGTGAGCACTAGGAAACCGACTAAGGACCAAGGAACGCAGAGATCACACAAGCACCCGTGCCTAGCCCGTAGTCTAGCTCCCGTTGCAGTAGTTATCTCCGCATGGTGCGGTGAGCGTGGAAGGCACACGACTTACCTTTCAGTCGGGTCGACGTAGAGGCTATTTACCTAAGTTGACGTAGGCCAGCAGCCGTGCAGTCTTTAGCTTGCGCGTAGGTGACCCTGGAAGCACAGCTGGAGGACGCGAGGATACGTCATAATGCCCAGGAATATGGGATGATTCCCTCGGCGGTTGTGGAGGCTGGCATTCGCACGATGTGGGCGACCCTGCACCCTTCTCAACCGGGTTCTCCTTGCCCGGTGACCAACGAAGGCGGCGTCGACGTGGGCGTCAACGCCGGAGGTGGCCAAGTCAGCAGCAGTGCGGGAGGCACGTCGAGGCAGAGAGGTGTGATACACGCCGACGAGGTCAGCGGCGTTCAGGCGCGAGGGGGGCAGTCGTCCGCGGCTGCAGAGGCCTCGCAGGGCGACGCCGGAGGACGAGGAAGCGGATTATCGCCAATGTCGGCGAGCCAGGTGACGGCGGCTGGGATAGCACCAAGTTACGGCTACTTCAAGTTTTCGCCGGACAGGATCTTGGTCACCCCGCCGCTCGTTGGTCGACATCCTCACCTGGAAGGAAGGTATCGAGCCCCAACTGGAGACGGCTGAGCTGATCAATTTCGCTCGAGGTTCCGTGGAGACGCCGGACGACCCCGACCTGCGTGCGGAGTTTCGCGCTGTGCAGCTGTTGACCTTCATGGTCATCTCGCGGTGCTGCTCGGCGGGCGTGCAGATCGCCTTGAACTGGTGTCGGGAGTATGTCGACGCCGGCCACCAGGCATGGCACTTCATTGAGTCGACCTACCAGGTCACCGACGACCTGTTCATCTCCCAGCTGGAGGGGCAGCTGACGCACCTACGCATGGGCGACGAGGAGACGGCGACCGACTACTGCAACCGAGCCCGACGAATTCTCGCCACCATCAGGATGGCCGGCGCGCAGTACTCCACGACGTCGTACGTTACCCACGTGATGCAGGGGTTGTCGAGCAACTACAACCTCCTGAAGAGGTTGTCGATGGCGCCGGACACTAGGACGTCGCTCAACGAGGACAACCTGACCTCGTACATCCTGCAGGACGAGGCGATGCAGGAGGCTGAGCGATCGCAGGAGCTCTTGGCACAGGCCAACTTCGTCGCCCCGGCGAAGCAAGGAGGTCGACCGGGTCAGCGCGGACAGTCTGGTGGCGGCGGGAGCAGTGACTGGAAGTCGACCAAGGAGGTCGACAAGAAGCCGACCAAGGACGGCGGTCGAGGAGGAGGAGGTCGACGTCGGAAGTGCTGGATCTGCCACAGCCCCGACCACCTCTCATTCGAGTGTCCCGACCGCAGTGACTCCGACGACGACGACAAGGGCGGCCGCGGGAGGTCGAGCAGTTGTTGTCCTCGTCGAGGAGGAAAACAGCCGCGCAAGGAGAAGCAGTCGACCAAGACGTCGACTTCGGCGAAGGACGCCGACTCCTCTGCTGGCGGCAAGGCGCGGGACGACAAGACGGCGTCGTGCTCGCTGGTCGGCGTCGTGGAGCCGACCGTCTCCCTGGCGCCGGAGGCTGGGGAGGACTTCCAGGCGGTGGCGGCAGCTGTGCAGGCGAACCCGGAGGTGGTCCTGCTCGACAGCGGCTGCTCCCACCACCTGATGGGGACGAAGGAGGTCTTCGTCAACCTGCAGCCGAGAGACTCCATCAAGCATGTGCGCGCCTTCAATGGGGCGCTGCAGAACGTCCAGGGCCGTGGCACCGTCGCCCTGCAAGGAGAAGCCGGGAAGCAGGTGCTCATCCCCAACGTGCAAATTGTCGTGGGTGTGCGGGCGAACCTGCTGTCAGCCGGCTAGCTGAAGGAGCACGGCGTGAAGCTGCAGGAGGACGGAGACGGCATGCTGCTCGTCTCGGCGGCTGGGGAGGTGCTTGGTCGGGCGACGTACTCCGGGCGAGTTCTCTGCACCGACCTGCGTCCCTGCACCACGACGTCTACGTCGCCAACGACGGAGGTTGTGGCTCTGCGGGCGATCGTCTCGAAGACGAAGTCGACGCCGGACCGGATGCACGCGAGGCTGGCGCACGTCGGCATGGACACCATCAAGAGCTCGGCAAAGCACGGGGTCGCCATTGGGCTGGACCTCAAGTCGGCAACGGGCGCCGACTCTCCGTGTGTCTCGTGCGTCGGCGGGAAGCTGGCGCGGCACACCTTCCCCGACCAAGGCTCCGACGCCGACGACGTGCTGGCTGTCGTGCACATCGACCTGTGCGGGCCGTTCCGTGTGGCTGCCAAAGACGGCAGCTTGTACTTCCTGCTGCTGAAGGACCGCAAGACCCGCTTCGTGTGGGTGAGGCCGGTCGTCAAGAAGTCGGACGTGCTGCTGGAGTTCCAGAAGTGGCTGGTGTTGGTGGAAAGGTAGACGAAGAAGTCGGTGCTGCGGTTGCGCTCGGACCGAGGAGGGGAGTTCCTCGGGAAGAAGTTCACCGACTTCGTGGACGACAAGGGGATCTTCCACAACCTGACCTGTCCGTACACCCCGCAGCAGAACGGCATGGCGGAGCGGGAGATGAGGACGGTGGTGGAGTCCGTGCGGACGATGCTGCTGCACATGGGCGTGCAGCACCACTGGTGGCACCTCGCTCTGCGACAGGCCGTATGGGTCCGCAATTGCCTTGAGCGGTCGACGCTGCCGCCGGGGTCGACGCCGTATCAACTGCTGACCGGGCACAAGCCCGACTTGTCGATGGCGCGGGTGTGGGGCTGCATGGCGCAGTTCCTTGTCCCCGAGCAGCAGCGTGGTGGTAAGCTGAAGCCGAAGGCCAGGTGGGGCCTTCACCTTGGCGTGTCGGCGGCGAAGACGGTGACACCGGGGAGTCCACCGAGAGCGACGTGGTGGAGGTTCGGCCGGAACCCCGGAAGTCAGATCGAGTTCGGCGGCCGCCAGACCGCTTCGTCCCCGCTACCTTCACTACGGTCTACGACGTCGACGACGACGACGACCTGCTGTACGACGACGCCGAAGAAGATGAGGATGTTCCGGAGCTCAACCCCGACATGCATGCCAACCCCGAACACCGCTGGGACATCTCGACGATGACGGTGAAGGAGGCGTTGGCGAGCTGGAAGGGCCCGGCGGTGAAGGCCGCCATGGAGGAGGAGATCCGCAGCCTCATCAACATGGGGACTTGGGAGCTGGTCGAACGCCCGCCGGGAGTGAACGTCATGAAGAACCGGTGGGTGTTGACGACGAAGTACCGTGTCGACGACACCGTCAAGCGCGAGAAGGCGAGGCTGATCGTGAAGGGCTTCACGCAGGTGTACGGCGCCGACTACGACGAGACGTTCGCGCCGGTGGGGAGCTACGTCACGCTGAGGATCTTCCTAAGCATCGTCGCCGTCCTCAACCTCAACCTGATGCAGCTCCACATGAAGAACGCCTTCCTGCAGAGCAAGCTCGACCGGGTGCTCTACATGGCTCAGCCGGACTACTTCAACGACGGAACCGGCCGGGTCTGCAAGCTGCTGAAGAGCCTGTATGGGCTAAAGCAGTCGCCGCTGCTGTGGTACTTGGCGCTCAACAACGTGCTGGTCGGCGCCGGGTGGAAGAAGAGCCAGGTCGACGAGGCTCTCTACTTCAAGGTCGGCAAGGACGAAGTGGCTTGCTGGGTGCTGGTCTACGTCGACGACCTGCTCGCCGCCAGTAGCAGCACCGAGATGCTGAAGGAGCTGAAGGAGCTGCTGGAGTCCGCCTTCGAGCTGCGCGAGATTTCGCCAGTGCAGAAGTATCTCGGCATAGAGATCGTACGCGACAGGTCGGCGGGGAAGCTGTGGCTGCACCAGCAGGGCTACGCCGACAAGCTGCGTCCGCGCTTCATCCACGAGGAGCAGACCGAGCGCACTCCGAAGACGCCGGTTTCGGTCGGCGCCTACGCCGAGCTCACCTTCGACGACGAGGAGGCGCAGGCGCGAGAGGAGGAGGAGTACCGGTAGAAGGTCGGCTCGCTGCAGTTCGCGGCGACGACGACGAGGCCGGACGTCGCCTTCGCCTGCAGCAAGCTGGGGAGCGGCCTCACAGTGAGGAGCGACCAGCACTGGCGCGAGGTCGACCGCTGCCTCGCCTACCTCGCCAACACGCGTGACACCGCCCTGGAGTTCGGCGGTGGACCTGAGTCGCTGGAGCTGGTCGGCTACGTGGACGCCGACGACGCCGGTGACAAGCAGAACAGGACGAGCACGGGAGGCTACGTGTTCGTCTACGGAGGGGCCGCGGTCTCCTGGTCGAGCCAGCGCATCAAGTGCGCGACGTTGTCGTCGACCGAGTCGGAGTACGTGGCGGCCACGGAAGCCGGGAAGGAGGGACGTCGACTTCGCTTCCTCCTCGCAGAATTCCAGCAGCTGGATGCTGGGAAGCCGACCGTCCTTCGGGTGGACAACAAGTCAGCAATCACAGTCGCCAAGGGCATGGGGTTGACGGGCAACCTCAAGCACATGGAGCGGCGACAGGCCCGGCTGCAGCACATGGTGAAGCGCGGGAAGTTCTCGCTGCAGTACATCCCTACCGCTGAGCAGCCTGCCGACTTCCTGACGAAGGCGCTGCACTATCCGGCCTTCAACCGGTGCTCCGTCGCAATCGGCCAGGTGCGCTTGGCCGACGTGGGCGACGGCGACGACGACGTGCAGCAGTAGGTGCCATGCCCTCTTGCATGGCTGGTGCGGTGACCGGCGTGCTGTGTGTTGGGTGCACGCCGACGGGCTATTCTCGGAGCTATACTGCCGTGTGGGCTGGGGGCCCAAGCGTGAATGCGGCAGGGGAGTGTCAACGGGAGTTGGGTGTTGGCACCGTCCTCGCTTGGGCGGAGCCGACTTCGTGGTCGGGTGTGAGGGGAGCAGCCGACCTGCAGCATTGGGCGAGCTGGTTGACGAGGAGGTCGACCTGCAAGAGGGCCACTGCACGGGCGCCGACTTCGGGGTGGCGCCGACTTTGGGGAAGCCGACTTTGGTGGTCGGCTGACGGACTGATAGTCGACCTGGTGGTTGGTCGACCAAGCCTGCTGGTCGACCTGCCGGTGGTCGACTGGA